CCCCCCCCGACTGTAAATTATTGGGAAATGTTTACAGGAGAATCTCATATTCCTGTGTGTGAAGATTTAGTTCCACACCATTTATTACTCAAGTGTGACACAAAGAATGCTTTGGCACTACCCACAGAATAGGTCCTTAGATGGCAGTGTAATTTCCTCCAAAGTCACTGTAGTCTGGGAAATACGGTGAAGTAATGAAGTGATGACAGGTATTAACATGCATAATGGGCTTTAATAGACATTTAATGTTGTTTAACTGGAAGAAGGAGAAGTGCTTTCCCATTGGAATATTTCTACATTGAAACTCATTGATCACCAATTTCAGAGGGGAAAGGTTAATCCATCAGTTTCTGTAACCAAACGGCACTGATGGAAATTCTTTAGGTGACATTCTGGATGAACTGAGCTTTCCATCTTTGCAAACAAATGAGTGATATGACAAGCATGGTGTTCAGAACACATTTAACCAATTGATTTTCTCTCTTCTTGTAATAAGATCTAGAGACATATGAAAGAGCGTAGCATGAGCCAAGATTAAAGGAGCTGCTTCATACACGCGAACATAGGGGAAACTGCATTATCAATAAAAGTACTATAAAGCATGTGGGCACCCATTCTTTTTCTTTATATAAAGTTTGTTATTGCAATAAATAGCTGTTATTGAACTGCTCACCTTTTATTTCAGTTTTTCTGCATTTTATTTTGGTTGGCTTTCTGTGGCTTCCTGGTAAACGTTAGGAAAAAATGTTATGTTTTGTTATGATATCGTTTTTGCACTCACTAGTAAATCCAGGCCAACTCTGGATTTAAAACCAGGATTTATCATCCTTTGGGGCATGACGAAAGATATGAGGCGGGGGCAGGGACCTGACTTCAGTTAATGTAAATACATCAATTATATTTTAAAGGTTTAATCTGCACGGTTCCATACTGTAATGACCCTCATCTTTTTCCTCCCTCTTCCCTCCTTTTTCTCCCAAATTCAGCCCTGCTCTGAGTTTCACATACCCTCCTACACCGGTATCCCTCCAGCAAATGCATCAGCAAATTATAAGTCGTCAGCAAACCCTAGGTTCAGCCTTTGGACACAGCCCTCCACTCATCCATCCTGCTCCAACTTTTCCTACCCAGAGACCTATCCCCGGCATCCCCAGTGTCCTGAACCCTGTCCAGGTCAGCTCTGGACCTTCTGAGTCCACGCAGGTGAGAGACAACGAAAGAAATCTTTGCACCCCATTAAATTAAAAATGAAATAAATGAAACAAATGACATTGTCTCGATGGCAATTAATCACTGCTGTCACCGAGACCCTTCGATAACAGTTTTCTTGCAGCTATAGCATTTGCAGTCCCTTTATTATAAATCACAGGAGTGCATGCACAGTTCCTGATTGGTAGCATGCTTTTTAGTCCTTATAAATATTTCAGTGTGCTGCAGCAGCTTCTCATTCCAAACTGTCTCTCCTGGATCTTACATGGGAACTTAGTAGAGGTGGGGAGTAAGAAAAAAGGGAAAACCACATCAAAACGCAAACACCTCCAAATCAGGCTGACTGTGATATACACAGGGTTGTATTCTGCCCTCCTCACACAGGTGTGAGTAACTCAGTCTGCAAGCAACAGAGGAACTCAAAGACAGTGCAGAGGTTTGAAGGTTTTTCCTCAGATTTGTGCAAAATTGGACTTGCTGAGTTTGAATGAATCATTTCAATAAGCCAAAGTGTATTCTCAAAAGCTGGAGATGTGCAGCAGTGAATCAGGACCATAATGCGGAGTTTATCACAGTTCGTGGTTTGCCTGTTATTAACTAGTGCTGTTTGTTTCCAGATGACCTGGGATAGGTTATTTATCAGTCTGGGAGCTGTTTATCTCCTGGCTAGCTTTTAGAAATGTAGAAGCAGAACATACTGCTGTAGGAAGCATATTGATTTTTTGTGGGGTCCATGCAAGTTCAGATATCTCTAAAAGATCTCTGGATTCCTACAAGATCCATTTGCAGGTGTAGATAATGGTGTTCAGTCTAGCACAGCAAGAGAAAAACAAGATTCTGGCCTGTTTATGTCAGCAGTAGTTTTGCTATTGACTTGGGAGAATCCAGGACTACGTCTCGAAATTTTTGGCTGAGTCTCACACTAGCGTTCAGTTTTTCTTCCTATCCACCATTACAATGGGAAACACAGTAAAAGAGCTGAGATCTTGTGTGTGGATGTTAAGTGCAAAACCTTTCCTCCAAGTGTGAAAAAAAGAAATCTTTCTCTTGTGTTTATTTGAATGAGTGCACAGTGATTTTGCTTTTCAAAATTGTCTTTCTGAAGTCGTCATTTTGTGGAAAATCAAGTTCTTCCTACCCATCCCTGTCCTGACAAAACCAGCACTGGTTTGTAGCAAGGAATTACTTCAAATGCCCTCCTTCCTGTTCCCTCCCTGCTCCATTACAAGGTTGAGTGAGGCAGCTCTTCCACAAGTTAATGCTATATAATTGAAGCACAACGTAATTGCATATCCAATATAATTAACAGGGTAGCTTCTCCAAATAAAGTTGCTGAGCAGATGCCGCATATTTTTGTTTGGAGCTACATATTTATCACAGTCTAATTTTGTCTTCTTTTTTGGGGAAAAAAAACCCAACCAACCCTGCCTGCAGCAGAATAAACCCACAAGCGAATCTGCAGTGAGCAGCACTGGAGATCCAATGCACAACAAGCGCTCCAAGATAAAGCCCGACGAGGACCTCCCCAGCCCTGGAGCAGGAAGCGTGCAGGTATGGCGGTCAGGTTGCAGCCATAAAGCCTTTCTCATCTCACTCCCAGAGGGAAAATGCACCTTGCCTGTAGCACGTGTTTCCAGGCTTCCTGCCCTCGTACGGCCCTTCATCTCGTGCACACGTGGGCGGCCTCAGCTCAGGGTAGCAAGGGTCGAAGGTGGGCAGTGAGGGGCTGCATTGCAGGATGAGGGCAGAGAGGAAAGAGGCTGACGGAGATGGAGAGGTGCCTCTGATCAGTCAGAGAGCGCTCAACCCTCTGTCTGCCATGGAAAAGCGAACCAGAGACATTGAGGTTTATTGAGGACGTGTTTTCTCTTCAGCCGGAATGTTTACACCATGTTGGCTTTTAGCTGGACTTAGCACTGTACTGCATTGAGGCCTCGGTGTCAGGCTCCAGTTTCATTTGCTATGCTTTCTATATGGTTTTAGTAGAGCGACTCCTCATTTACAGTGATTTGGGGGAGCTGAGAATCAGAGCCTTGATCTTGTGAGTGAATCCATGAAACCAAAGCAGAGGTCTGTCTAAATCCTTCAGCGGGTTTGAAATGGAAAAATAGCGTGAGTGCATAATCTGAACCAAATGTTTATGTTAACATCTGACCCTTACCCTGAGCACATAACAAGCTGGGGAGAATGAGGCACCTTGTGGAAAGTCAAAACGCAAAATTAAATACTCTCTCCCCTGTTCACCCCTTTCATGCACAGATCACAGGCAAGAACAGACTAATAAGTAGCCTGAAAATTACCAGTCTGCTCTTGGAAAGGTTTTGTGTGCAAAACCGTCACTGGATTAATGATGAAAACTCACTTGGGATTACTGGTGATCTGGTCTGTGTCTAACTGTAGTACTAAAGTCAAATTTAAATTAATTCAACTATATTGAATAGTGCCTTTTTCACTAGTGATGCCACTGAATAATAAGGGGAAAGTGTACAAACAGACCTGGTTAATCATGGGGAGAGGGAAGCCAAGCCGTTATGATTTGCTTTGAATTGAAATGTAAAGGGATTTTTTTTTAGAAATTCACTCTAGTGAGTACTTCTGGGGAGGAAAAATTTATTTTACACACATAGTCTGCACATGGCTTTTGGCTTACCAGGCCTGTTTTGGGCTTCTGTATTTCTTTTAATGCTGAAATAATTCATTTTTTTCCTCCTCAGTTTCAGAATTTCCTCTCTCCTCTCCTCACCCCTGTTTTTTTCCTCTCTCCAGGAACAGCCAGAAGGAATGACCCTGGTAAAAGAGGAAGGGGACAAAGATGAAAGCAAACAGGAGCCTGAAGTGGTCTATGAGACAAACTGCCACTGGGAAGGCTGTTCCCGGGAGTTTGACACGCAGGAACAGCTCGTGCATGTAAGTTAATGGTATTCAGGAACTGGGTTTTAAAACTACGTGACCTTTTCCGTGGGGGTCAGGTTCTCTGACCCCGTGCTGAGTCAAGTTTCTTAGCTAACAGCGCTGCAAACTGGAGAGGGGTTTATGAGTTTCTGAGAATAAAGAAAACTCAGAGCCACAGTGCTTGACCTGTTCAGTCAGCTAAAGCTTAGTGTAAAATTCAATAAAGTCTTCAATAGAGATTGTAATGGCTCTGATCCTGTAAGCCAGCAAACGCTATTTTGAGTTAGAAACTTTGATAGTTATTGAGTAATAGTAAGCTGGACATGAATTATTATTAACCTTTAGCCAAGTTTGATTTTTTTCTCCCAAAAGGGACTGTAACAGTAGAAACGGGTAGGGGGAATTCTTCCCCTTCCCTGAGGAGGGTTTTGGTATCAATTTACTGTTGTTTGTAAACTGAAGTGGATTATTTGGCTAAATACATGCAGACCAAGTTATTTCAGTCTTTTTAGCCAAAGCAAATTTTATAGTCTTTTTTTATGCTACACCAAATATTAGTTGTATCTGCCTTGTTTTTTCTTCCCCTCTACCAATCCTCCAAAATAAATGATTCTTACTATTTTGTAGTATTGTAAGCTAGAAAATGAATTATGGCAATCTAGAATATAACCCAGCAAGTACGATCCCCCCCATCTCCAACCTCCTTAGCTAACAGCACTTCTCTTTATTGCTCTCATCATAGGACATATCTAAACACTCTGAAAAAAGAAGAAAAAAGGAATTCCTAGTACAGATTAGAGAGGAACATCTTCAGCAAATGATCAGTATGTCAGAATCATATTTATTGTAGAAAACTGCTTAATACTTTCCTGGAGATTATGCAAAATCTATTGCATAATATGGCCAATACTACTGAAATAACTTGTTAAAAAAATATTTTTCCACCCAGAATAAATAAAAAATCCCCACCATATATTTCCAAACACTATGCAAAATGGTAAACTGATGCTGCAAAGCTGACTTCAGTAAAGCAATGCCAGCTTTTTCTCCCTGGATTGTGACAGCCTTTTGGTGTTGCAGTTATTCATCAATATGTATTTTCAGTATCTTGTTATTATTAGTAGTAGTAACAGTAACAATAGCAATAATAATAAATGAAAGATGATCGCACACTAAAATAATGGCAAAAATTTGACATTTTTAAAGAATCCTTTGGACACATTTTGCACAAAAAATACCTTAACATTTCAATAGGCCAAGATGAAATGTGAGGAGAGACTTTCAGTGTCATAATATCTTTTTGGGAAAAAATGCCATATGAACGGTTGCTGCAAAGAGTTGGACACATTTAAAAGATCAAGTGTTGGTCTTGCAATTGATTCCATGCAAAGAGACCGATTGACATCATCCGGGGCTCTGCACAGGCACAGTCTTTATATTTGCTAATAATTGTAAGGCTGAAGCTTTATGATGCCTGGCAAACCTTTCTCAATATTCAGAAATGATCATAGTGATAATAATAAATAACTTACACCAAAATATATGAAATAAAAGAGAAATTGGGAATGAAAAAAAGGAAGACTTTTTTGAAGTTTCAGACATAAAATTTAATTGAATTCCATTGTGCCTGTTAGCTAATGTTTTGTAGCTTCAGGTGAATTAAATTGACAGTGTGATAGTTTGGTTGGGTTTGTGTTGTTTTTTTTAAATGCATTTTTAGTTTCTGGTGTGATTTTTGTAGTGAATCTGACTGTACTATAAGGGTCAATAACAAGACTCCTCTGAAAAAAGTGTATTTCTTATGTTTCTACACGATGGCAACAGTTGAAATGGGTTTCTCTAGACATAAAGAAGGCAGATAAAAAATATTTCTATGACACAGGGAGTTCTTTTTGGCAGGGCTCGGGATTCAGCTATGTTATGATGGCATTTAAGATTACAAGGTGCAAGTCCTGACTTGATACCATGAAGACAATAAAATCATCATCATCATCATCACAACCATCATATTCAAGTAGCACAAATCACGCTGTAAGAGTCAGCGTGACTCAGTGATGGAGTCCTGGTTGTGATTTCTTTTGCTGCTCTGACAAGAGCCCTGCTGTGGGGACTTGAGCGAGTTATTTCTGTCCGGAATTGCAAAGGGCTTTAGACATCTAACTCTGTTTGAAAGGCTGGCCCTTCACCCCGGTCTGTCTCTCCCATATTTTGTCTGCCCTTGATTGCCACAGCCATCTGATGTACAGCTGCGGCGACTAGGGAAATGAAGTCCAGGTCTCCGTAGGGCTTCACAGGAGCGCAGTCCTGGTTTGCCTTAGGTGAGTGACTCTGGCAGAAAGCATTCAGTCCCTGAGCAGCAGTTCCGTCCTTGAAAATCTCCCCAATGATGTAGTTCATGTATGCCTCCTACCCAAATACTAGTGGGTAAATCCGAGTAGATACACATTGCCGTAACTGCACTTACCGCAGTGTCTTTGCTCTAGGTGAGTTCCTGACTTGGTGTGTGCATGTGTGCAGCTGAACTAGACACAGTGTATGAGACTCCGTGGCATGAGTACCTCCTTTACACAGTAATAGTTAGACTGCAGTAGCAGCTGGAGGCCTCATCAAGCCCAGAGTCCCGTAGTGCTAGACACTGCTCAAACGCAAGAGAAGGCATGGCCCTGATATGGACATGAGGTCTTCACCCTGCAGTTCCAGGGCTGTGTACATCGGGCTGTTCGTTGCCATTCGGAGGTACCTGAGCTAGCTTGTGTACAGGTAGGACTGTAGCTAGGATCATGCTATTAACCTTCAAATCTTGCAGCAGAGCTCTGCCACGTTGCCTCTCCTGGCTGCACGCACTGCTGCTCTGCAGGTGATTCCCAACCCGCTGGCAGACTCAGCAGAGCCTCGGTTGCTCCAGCTGAGCTTGAAGGGGTTTTGAAGTAAAATGGTGGACTGCCATCTGGGACATCAAAAGTATAGATAACTGTCCTCTTTTGTTGACTCTACTGTGGGGTAGTAATCATCAAGGCAGGGGCAACTGGCATAGATAAAGGCAATAAAGGCTTAGATTGCCCTAGCAAGACTCATCCAGATAACATCTGCCAGCTTCCCTATATTCCCTGGCACTCAGAAAGGATGATTGGCATGAGCAGAGAGCTACAGTTACGTGTTCAGAAGTTGGATGGGTGTGATACAGCCCTACATTTGTGATACAGCATCATATTGTGTACCCTCCCTGCTTGCCCATGCTATGGGTAGTCAAGTGAACTGTATAGTGAACCTAAGAGTGAGCTATGTAGACCTTCACAAAGGATTGCAAGAAACCTCTTCCCTGTCACCCACTTCACTGAGTAGGTCGTATGTAGCATGTATTCAGTAGCAAGGAAAATGCATTTGTATATTTGACTTGGAAGTATTTAGAGTATTCTTTCACCTGTACAACTCTCTAAACCAGTTCCCTGGGTTTTAGAAGTTCATCTGGGAAGAAGAAATTTATAAAGTGCAGAGTTTCAGGGAAAAAAAAAAAGGACCTAAAAAGCATTCTTGTACATCCTGATAAGGCTAAATTGTCAGAATCTACGGAGGCTAGCAATAAGTCTTTTAATGAATGTAGGGTTTTTTTTCAGGGGGATAAAGCCACTGTTTGTAGCCATACCTAATAGTAAGATATCATACCAAAAATGTCCGATGGCACAGAATAGACTTATCCAAGCATTGCATCCCAAGGCACTGGAATATTTGAGGAACTTCAGTGTTTAGGGAAAAAAAATAGAAGTATGTTTCTAGCTGTTTGTTTTGTTTCCTAAAGGGTTAGGTACCTCAGTGTGAATTCTCATCACACCAGGTTGAGCAGAGCTCGGGAGAGCTTTTCCACAATACACAATGCACACAGTTCATACTGTAGATGTCATTACTCCCATCATGTATAGGGTGTATACACAAGCATTTATGCATGTGTTTTGAAAGAGGTAAATATGAATTTGTGTATATTCTGCTCTTTCTGACACATCAAGATAGCTTTATTGTCTTTTGGGGAATGATGGGACCTGATTTACTTTGAAATCAACTGTAAGTGAATCAGATTCCAGCAATATCTGCATTGCAAAGTGATGGGTGATATAGCATATATGAAACAGTAAATACAAACATAGGAGTGTCTGAATATGTGATATTGCTTTAGAGCAGAAATTGCAGTTTTGGGCACACTAGTCAGCATTTGATGGCGTTTTTCTGCATTACATTCTGTAGCAAAGTCCTTCTGTTATTAGCGCAAAAGGTGGGCACTAGTGAAAGTGTGCTTAGCCCCAAGAGACATTGTTTTCTGACTGAATTTATGAACGGAACCTGGGCCACTGTGAATAAACAACTAAAAAGCTACATAAAAGAATCGTTATTGACCCACCCAGAAGGGTTTAACACCATGATTTTGGTGCAGGAGCTCTTATTTTCAAGCGATATGTGCCACTTAGAATTCAGCATGGTTAAATTTTCATGATACGTACACCAAAAGGCAAGGTGTTAAACCATTCAGACGCTCTGCCTTATTTATAGCACCTATCCATCCTTTTTTCCCCCCCTCTCTTACAGTTAATAGAAAGATTCATGATTCTTCATGGTTGTCTATCTAGCGTCTGACAGTACCGACTGCCCTGCTAAAGCAAGTCACTATCTATAATTGATATCCTTCTATGGAATAGGGTACCGGCTGCAATTGAAGGGTTTTGCTGAAAGCTCTTAAATCCTGACAAGTTCTGCCCTTGTTCTGATTCAGTCGCTGAGCTGCACTGCTGGGATCCCAGGGTTATTTGAAGTTGGTGCAAAAGGGGTGCCTGTATTGCACGTTTGCAAATCACAAAGTTGGAGAGCAGCGTTAGAGCCGCCACTGCGTTTGCCTGCCAGGTATTCTTATTTACATTGCGTTGCGCTCCTGAAAAGATTGCTTACATTACTGTTTGAACATGTGTATTACAGGTTTTTTTTCTTTCCCTTCTTCTTAAAAAAAAGGATCTTATTTATTTTAAAGCCTC